CTTGCATATTGAAGCGATGCAAGATTTTCTTCAGACTAAGCCAAATCTTCCTATTATTTTTGTCTCGATAAATTTGCATCCTTAGAATCTTGTTTGCCGATCCCAAGTCCTTTATTTCAAACTCCCTAGCCAATTGAGCCTCCAAATTTTCAATACGATCTTTGTTGGGGCCTGCTACCAACATGCCATCAACATACAACAGCAGAATAATGAAATCATTATCACCAAATCTCATGTAGTATGCATATGGATCTGAACTGAGTCTGTTGTATCCAAGGCTCATGATGAAGAAATCAAATCTCTTATACCAACATCTCGGCACCTATTTGAGATCATAGAGAGATTTGTTCAACCTGCAAACTAAGTTCCATTTTCTTTTTTCGTTAAGACCTCCTCGTTGGAGCATAACAATTTCTTCTTCAAGTTCTTCATCAAGAAATGCAGTTTTCACATCTAACTGCTCCAGATGCATCTCTGCCAATTATCACCCTGTGGGTAGTGGGAACCGACAGGTGGTACCCCTTCACTCCATCAGCATACCCTAACAAAATACATTTTCTGGATTTTGGATCCAGCTTTGATGTTTTTGGGTGTTGTACATAACGTACACCGGACCTCCTCCATTGTCAGTCCTCAGACACTTGATCTTTTTTTTTTCAGATTCAAGCTTCACACGCGCTTTGGGTATTTTGAAGACTGCGAACATGTCTGCCTTTTTTTGATTGGATACACCTAACATCTCCCGAAGTAAGCATCAATAAAAGATACAAAGTATTTTGCACCTCCTAGGGATATAACCGATGCTTTCCAAACATCGAAATGGACCATCTCCAAGATAGCTTTACTTCTAGCAGCGAAATCGCTGAACTTCAATCGACGCTGCTTACTAGTAACACAATGCTCACAAAAGGATAATGAAACATTTTTTGAGCCTGGAAGAAGCTTTTGTTCTGAGAGAATTTTCAAACCATGTTTTGACGTGCAACCAAGCTTACGATGCCACATCATCGTTAATTCTTCTGCTGAACCTGTCGATGTGACAGATGCTTCTCTTTCTTCTCATAGTATTTTTCCTTTAAGCAAGCACAAATTTGTAATTATCTTTTCAGCTTTCATCACCACAAGGGCGTCTTTGACAATCTTTTTCTCCGCCACACTTGACAATACTCCATTAGCTAGTGTAAGGTGCAGATTAGCAACTGCATTGCTATCCATCTCGTTCCACTTAGCATCATCAGTGATCTCTGCGGGCCTCTGTCCAATTGCCACCAAGCAGTTATCTTTTCTCATAACTGTTTTTATTCTCACTTTTCATAATGAGAAATTGTCCCATTTGAACTTTTCAATCTCATACTTTGTCGCCAATTTTTTTTTCACCAATATTATGAGTGAACAACGACCCTACACAGAACCTTGCTTTGATACCACTGTTGGGGAGAAAATGCTTGGGTCGACTTTGGTTGACAACGGTAATGGAATTGAGAAATCGCAGCTAAAATGGACACAAGTATTTACATGGTTCACCCAATTTAGCCTACGTCCACGGACAAGTACAGGAGGATTCACTATAGTAGGAGAATTACAACACTCACTTTAAATATAAGAAGATAACAACAAATAATCTCTCTTGTAATTAGGAGAAAACAAATAGGAAATACCTAGGAGAAAATAATAATTTTTCTCTCTACTTCACCATTTTTTCTCTACTAAAGGAAAGTTTTCTCTCAATTTTCCATGTCCATATGTGATAAGTGTGTTTTTACACACTTATTTAGCTCACAAACATAACTTAAATATGGACAAAATAGTTGAATTATAAATTAATCTCGTTAAATTCATACAATGTAGGTGTTTCTATGAAAAAGATGGAATTCAGAAGAAAAGAGCCGAAAAAGGATCAAAACGGAACAAAGCGATAGTTCGGGGACCAAAGGTGCAAATATTGGAAAGTTGAGGTAAAGTGCAGAACTAGAATGAAAATATACCAAGTATAAGATTGAGGACGATACAAGATGATCGGAGGAAGAAAGAAATAACATTGGACTGAATTGAAGAAAAGTGAAAGATGAAGGACTAAATTGCAATTAATCAAAAGATGAGTCGAGCAAGTGATCAAGGAATTGATTGACCCAAACATCAATTAGGAGTCAATATTTGATAATGGAACAAAGAAAAGAAAGAAAAGAGATCAAGAAAAGAGAAAACGGAGCTCAGGGACCAAGATAGCAAGGTTGTAAAGTTACAACCTTACGGCCGCATGTAACTATACCATGCGGCCGCACATGAGAAGGCAGGGATTTTGTTGAGTAGAAAATTTGAACCATGCGGCCGCATGGCTTTAACATTCGAAGAAAAATCTGAACTTCCGTTTTTAATTGAAACTCTTTCGGGGCTCCGTGAGGACATGATATAAAAGCCAAAATTCATCAGAAATAGGTCAGAACATCCAGGGAGAAGAAAAATAAAACCTTTGGAGACAAGAAACAAGAACTTGAAGCCAATTTCACAAGAATTCAAGCGGATTTTCAAGGTTTTATTCAAGATTTCAATAATTTTCATACGGGTGCTATTCTTTCTATTTATTAATTTCATTTTTTCTGTAATTATGAATCTTCTAGGCTAGGTTTTGAGTTACTAGGTGATCGATGAACCGTTGTTTTTTATTTTAATTTCATATTTCATGAATTTAATATAAAGACTCGTTTGGATAATTTGATTGGTTTACATGCGTTAATTTTCTTCCGCAATTAGTGGCCAATGATTGTGTGAGTGTTGATGACTTATTTTTTACATTCGAGAGAAGTGGAATAGGTTCGATAAGGTGTAAATTAACATAGGATCCGATAGGGGATAGAGATATATCCTTATGCTTTATGCAATTCTTTAATTGTTCACAAAACCACATGCATTCTTGTATATTTGCATCATCCATAGAGATATAGGCTGGTGGTGTGCAAGAATAGGTCTAATATATATCGAGAGAATATATTGGATAGAATTAAGAACATTGAATTGGCAAATTTCCATCGGGCCATTAATTTTATGAAATTAAGGTTTTTATAACTTCAATTGGGGATTGGTGATCCTAGTGACTTTAGTTTGATTCATTTTCATAAATTAGCTTTTGAATTTGCATAATTTCATTTACTTGAGTGTTTGAGTCGTTTAATTAGAGAAATTTCGAAATTAGGGTTTTCAATAGAAACTAGGGTTTTTAGTGAAATTAGGGTTTTTGATTGAAATTAGAGCATTTTGCATTTAGACCATATTTTCACTCAATTAGATTCGGTTAAGGCTAGATTATATAGAATTGAACTACTCAATCTCTGAGGGACGATATTCAAACTTATTAAAATCCACTTTATTACTTGTTACGCACCGTACACTTGCGGTGGTTTTAAATCAAAAGAATTATTTCGTGAACAAGTTTTTGGCGCCGTTGCCGGGGATTGAGTATTTGTTTAATTTTATTCAATTTAGCACTAATTCGAATTTTTTTATTTTTTATTTTTTTAATTTATTTTAGTTCATTTTATTTTATTGCTATTTAGTTTTATTACATAAGTGCATATTTTAGTTACTTAAGTCTTTAAATTGAATTCTATTGCAGAAGTGCATGCCAAGATCTGCTGAAGGATATTTACTCCCAGTCGACCTAGAGATCGAACGAAGTTTCAGAAGAAGGCAGAGAGAAAAACAGAGCAGCAAGAAATCAGATGGAGAACGTACAACACAATCCTGTTGTACAAGACAATGAAAGAGGGGAAGAAGACGAAGGAAACATGCTCGTTGGAGAGTTCATGACCTCTCAAATCATTCAAAGCCAGTCCAACATTGTATATCCACCGTTTGGGCAGCCAAATTTCCAGTTGAAGACAAATGTGATACAATTGTTCCAGAACGGACATCAGTTTTATGGAAGAATTGAAGAGAATCCGTACACGCACGTCTCGCGCTTCTTAGAGATGTGCCAACACTTCAGATATCTAGGAATCTCTGACGACGCCATAAGATTAAGACTGTTTCCACATACTTTGCGGGACAAGGCGATTGAATGGCTTGATTCTTAGCCGATAGCCAGCATTACTACCTGGAATGACCTAGCTCAGAAGTTTTGTACTAAGTTCTTCCCACCGGCCAAGATTGCAAAGCTAAAGCACGACATATCTATCTTTAGACAAGGTGAATCTGAAAATTTTGATGAGACTTGGAACAGATTCAAAAATCTACTAAGGAAGTGTCTACACCACGAGATTAGCAATGGACTTCAGGTCCAATATTTCTATGCAAGGCTACTTCCAGCTTTCAAGAGCATGGTCGACTCTTCAGCTAATGGGTCATTGTCCACAAAAACAATTGATGAAGCATTGAAGTTATATGAGACAATGGCTATAACCTCAGCAATATGGACCATGGAACGAGCAGTACCAAAGAAGACACCAGGAGTTTATGAAGTGGATGTATATTCAGCGTTATCCGCTAAGATTGATTCATTATTTCACAAGGTGGAAAACATTACCCAGTCAGCTAACGCAGCGCAGACAAAGAAGGCAAATTGTGAGGAATGTGGAGCTGAGCATGTGACAGCAGAATGTCCAATTTTGACACAAGGAAAAGAGCAAGCAGATTTTGTTCAATGGGGACAACGCCAGCAGAACAACGCATATGGAGAGACCTTCAACCCAAGCTGGAAAAAGCACCCCAACTTTTCTTGGAGCAACCAAAATCAGAATAGGCCACAGGGGCAATATCAACAGCAAGAGAAGAAACCTCAATTGGAAGAAATGTTCGGCAAATTCATGGAACAGACCAACCAATATATGGAGGCGAACAACCAATTCATGAAGAAGACAGAAGCCACTCTTCAGGACCAGAATGCAGCCATTAAGAATTTGGAAACTTAGATGGGACAGATGGCAGTTGCATTAATAGGTAGAGCACCAGGCAGCCTGCCAAATAACACATAAGTCAATCCGAAAGAGCATGCAAAGGCTATAACAATGAGAAGTGGAGTGGAATTACCTGAGAGACAAGTGAATAATCCCGTGACAAACAGAGAAGAGATGTCTCCTGAAGTAGAAGAGATTTTGGAGCAAGAAGAACAGACAGAAGAGCCAACACCGAGAACAAATAAAGGAAACTCAAGGGATAAAGAAACTGTAGCTGTGAACCCCTATGAGCCACCCATACCGTTCCCACAGAGGTTGAAGAAGCAAAAGATGGAACAGCAATACAAGAATTTTCTTGAAGTCTTCAAGAAGCTCCATATCAACATCCCATTTGCTGAAGCACTGGTCCAGATGCCTAGCTATGCAAAATTCCTGAAAGACATCCTATCAAACAAAAGGAAGCTAAGAGATCACGAGACAGTTATGCTAACAGAGGAGTGCAGTGCCAGGATTCAGAGAAAGCTCCAGCCAAAATTGAAAGATCCAGGGAGTTTTACTGTCCCTAGTATCATTGGTGAATTTTATTTTGATAAAGCTTTATGTGATCTTGGTACAAGTATTAACTTAATGCCATTGTCTGTTTTCAGGAAATTAGGATTGGGAGAAGTTAAAGCTACCACGGTGACCTTACAGCTGGCTGATAGATCATTAACACATCCACGAGAAATAATTGAAGATGTATTGGTTAAAGTGGAGAGGTTCATATTTCCAGCAGATTTTCTAATTCTGGATATGGAAGAAGATAAAGATGTTCCTTTAATACTGGGCAGACCATTCTACCCATAGGCAGAGCTTTGATCGATGTTCAGAATGGGCAGTTGATATTGAGATTGGGAGAAGAATAGGTTTCATTCAATGTCTTCAAGGCCATGAAATTGTCATTAGAGACTGACAGATGTTTTAGGGTTGACATGATTGATAAAATGATTGAAGAGTCATTTACACTGCAAGATCCATCAGATGCATTGGAGGCATACATTGCACATTCTAAATCCACAAATTTTGATTCCGTGGACATAGAAATGTGTGCCAAATTTTTGGAGTCCAACCCACCTTACACGCGAAAACGATACTTTGAGGAGCTTGGGACAGGGCCAGAGAAATCACAGCCATCTATTCTGAAGCCACCAAAGTTCGAACTTAAGCAGCTGTCCCCACACTTAAGATATGCATATTTGGGGGAGTTCAATACACTTCCAGTGATAATTTCAAACATGGTTAGTGAAGTGGAGGAGGAAAAACTGCTTAGGGTGCTTCGAGATAACAAGAAAGCAATTGGGTGGACCATAGCTGATATCAAAGGGATCAGCCCTTCCTTATGTATGCATAAAATTCTCATGGAGGAGAATTTTCGACCAACAGTTGAAAGTCAAAGAAAGCTTACCCAAACATGAAGGAGGTAGTAAGAGCTGAGGTGATCAAACTTCTGGATGCTGGAATAATCTACTCGATATCAAATAGTAAATGGACTAGTCCAGTGCAAGTTGTGCCCAAGAAAGGAGGAGTTACAATGATTTAGAATGAAAAGAATGAGTTGATTTCGACAAGGACGGTAACAGAGTGGAGAGTTTGCATTGATTACCGCAAACTAAATACCGCTACAAGAAAAGATCATTTCCCTCTTCCGTTTATAGATCAGATGTTGGAGAGATTGGCAGGCCATTCCCACTACTGCTTTCTGGATGGGTATTCGGGTTATAATCAGATACCAGTGGCACCGGATGATCAGGAGAAGACCACCTTCACATGCCCCTATGGTACCTTTGCATACCGAAGAATGCCATTTGGACTTTGCAACGCTCCTACCACATTTCAGCGACGCATGATGGCAATTTTCTCAAATATGGTAGAGAAATTCATTGAAGTCTTTATGGATGACTTCTCGGTCTTTGGGACCTCAATTGATGAGTGTTTGGATCACTTAAATTTGGTTTTGCAAAGATGCAGAGAAACGAACTTAGTATTGAACTAGGAGAAATGTCATTTCATAGTTCAAAAGGGAATAGTCTTGGGACATAGAGTATCAGCAAAGGGGATAGAGGTGGATAAGGCGAAAATTCAGGTTATTGAGAAATTACCACCACCTACATCAGTAAAAGGAGTTCGAAGTTTCCTTGAGCATGTAGGGTTTTATAGGAGGTTTATAAAGGACTTCTCCAAAATCACTAAGCCTCTGTGCAACTTGCTAATGAAAGAAGTATCTTTTGAGTTTGATGAGGAATGTTTGATAGCGTTCAATACTTTGAAGGAAAAACTCACAACAGCGCTTGTGATTGTGTCACCTGATTGGGATTTGCCCTTTGAGCTAATGTGCGATGTGAGTGATCATGCAGTTGGTGCGGTATTGGGACAAAGAAAGAATAAAACCTTTCATGTGATATACTATGCAAGTAGAACTTTGAACGACACCCAAATCAACTATGCGACGACCGAGAAGGAATTGCTAGCTGTGGTTTATGCATTCGACAAGTTCAGATCGTATCTTGTTGGGTCTAAGGTCATCATCTACACAGATCATGCTGCTCTGAAATATCATATGACAAACAAGGATGCTAAGCTGAGATTGATCCGCTGGATATTGTTGTTGCAAGAGTTCGATATTGAGATCAAGGATAAGAAGGGCAGTGAAAATGTGGTAGCCGACCACCTATCAAGATTGGAACAGGATGAACCTGAGATATCAGTTGACATCAATGAAATCTTTCCAGATGAGCAAATTTTTGGAGTAGAAATAGTCCCATGGTACGCTGATATTGTTAACTACCTTGCTAAGTCCATCCCACCACCAGAGTATTCTAGCCATCAAAGAAAGAAGTTCTTCGCAGAGCTGAAGTATTACTTTTGGGAGGATCTCATTCTTTACAGAAGAGGCGTAGATCAGATAATCAGAAGATGCATTCCTGAAGATGAAGTACTGGAGATTCTAGAACATTGTCACTCTTCTGCATATGCTCGGCATTTTGGAGCTTCAAAGACTGCTGCAAAGATACTACAGTCGGGTTTCTATTGGCCTACTTTATTCAGAGACACGTTCGAGTATGTGAAGAGATGCGATAAATGTCAACGAACCGGAAATATCTCAAGAAGAAATGAGATGCCATTAAATTACATCTTGGAGGTTGAAATATTTGATGTATGGGTAATAGACTTCATGGGACCTTTTCCCCCATCGTACTCAAATCAATATATCTTGGTGGCCGTTGACTATGTCTCTAAGTGGGTGGAAGCTGTTGCATTGCCTACTAACAACGCGAAAGTGGTGATAGAATTCTTGAAGAAGTACATATTTACAAGATATGGTACACCGAGGGTAATAATAAGTGATGGGGGCAAACACTTCATAAATCGTCAATTAGAGTAGCTGTTGAACAAATATGGGGTGAAACATAAAGTAACAAATCCATATCATCCACAAACCAATGGGCAAGTTGAAGTTTCGAACAGTTAGTTAAAGAGAATACTGGAAGTTACAGTGAACTAATCCTGAAAAGATTGGTCTAAGAAGCTTGACGATGCACTGTGGGCTTACAAAACAGCGTTTAAGACACCAATAGGAATGTCTCCATACCGCCTATTTTTTGGAAAAGCCTGTTATCTACCATTGGAGTTAGAGCATCGAGCATATTGGGCTATGAAACAGTTGAATATGGATCTCAAGGCTGCTGGTGAAAAAAGACTACTGCAACTTAATGAATTGGATGAAATGAGAATGGAAGCTTACGAGAACTCAAAGTTGATCAAGGAGCGCGCCAAGAGATGGCATGATTTAAACATTCAGAGGCGAGAGTTTGAAGTTGGCCAGAAAGTGTTATTGTACAATTCTAGACTCAAACTCTTCCCAGGAAAGCTAAGAACAAGGTGGTCGGGTCCCTATACCATAACTAAGGTGATGCAATATGGGGCTATTGAAGTGAGTCACGAGACCAAAGGTACTTTCATCGTCAATGGGCAAAGACTGAAATATTATTGGGGCTGTAATTTCCCTAAGCAGAAGTTCACTGTGCAACTCAACAACCCAATGTGAAGAAGATACAGGAAAGTCGAGCTATCGACTATAAACTAGCGCTGGGTGGGAGGCAACCCACTGTATCCTTCAATTTATTTATTGCATTTATTTAGGAATTTGTTTACATTTCGTATGTTTTATTAGGTCATCGATCATTCACGCATGATAGTCTAGGCACTACACGCTTATAGTTGCATGAGTCGGGGTTAAAGAAAGTGTTTTTGGGTGTTTGAGTGTAAAGTAATGAATTTCGTGGTTCAACGTCGTTCGTTTTATTTTTCGAGATTTTAAAAAAAAAGTCGAATATGTAGAGTCGAGTCAATTTTGAAATTGAAAACCAATTTTCGGGAATTTTTAAAATTTCAAGGTGTGTATGGGGTTAAAATTATAAGTTGCTTTAGTTTTAAAAAAAAAATTAGGCTTTGTCCATGCGGCCGCATGGACAAGGGGTCCATGCGACCAGAACCAACATAGGGAGAATTCAATTACACCATGCGGCCGCATGGTGTATATGTGACGGGTTATTAACCCGTCACTTGCTAAACAACCCATTTTTTCCCTTCCGCCCTCCCTTCTCCCAAGTTACACCATGCGGCCGCATGGTGTATATGTGACGGGTTATTAACCCGTCACTTGCTAAACAACCCATTTTTTTCCCTTCCGCCCTCCCTCCCCAAATCACTCCCACACGAACACATGCTTCTCCCTCCCCCCAAATCCACCTTCACACACAACATCAATCACCAATACTCTTGCACATCTTCACCCTAAGCCCACATTATTCCCAACATTGGCATAAATTATTAAGAATTTTGGAGCAAAGCTTCTACTTTCCTTTCACAAAGATCTCAAGGTAAGAAATTTTATTTCTATGCAAGGTTTAAAGCTATTCTTTGATTTTATTGCCATTTTCAAATTGGGTAAGTGTTGAATTGTGATTTGTGGACTAGTCCTAAGTGTAAATAAAAAACAAAATGAAGGAAATTCCCAATGCACACAACGTGTTCGATTAAATGTCAATGAGACATATGATTTGAAATTTTGAACTTTTCATTTATGTGATGATTTACATTTTAATGTGAGGTCTACTAGACGAGAAATCTCATGGAATTTCATTAGAAAACGTTAGCCTCACATATTTGTGCACATAAACACATAATTGCTAAGCCATGTTTACTCTCGTCACTAACTTCGTCCATGTATTTTCCTTGCCAAACAACCTCCGATTGTAGTGAAATTTGGATATATGTTAGACCACAATGAGTACTTTCATATGTCCAGACCTTGTTCTGGGAAATTTTAATATTTCTCGGTGATGCTCGGGACTGAAGTTGGTCTCTTAATCATGGGTCGAATTTTCAAAAAGTGCATGTTAGAGCCATAGTTTTGAGTTTTTCTCATTAATGTAATATTGATGTTACATTGACTTCCATGCATTGAATATTGAACACATTTTGAAGATTCTTGCATGACAATGATATTCTTTATCATTTTCTTATTTCAAGAATTTGATACACTTTGTTCCTTATTTTTGTAAGATGCCGCCGAAGAGAACATCAAAAGGTAAAGAAAAAGTTGGTTCCTCCTTCGGCACAGCCTGCACCAGAGAGCTAATAGGAGGTGTGCGAAGATTTCGTGATGCAGAAATATTAGCTCGATATGAGAACATAATATGCCATTGGGGCATGATACCAGAGAGACAGGTCCGGTTAGATGATTTTCGTGGTTTTGAGTTGACAAATCTGATACAAATCTGTGGATGGGAGAAGATTGTAGAAAA